GGAGGTAATTCAGAAATCAGCTCAACTTTCACTTTATCCACCTCAATTCCCCTTTTTGAGATGACGTGACCCAAAACAATACCTTCTTGAACCATGAAATGGCTCTTTTTCCCAACTAAGAACAAGGTTTGTTTCATGACATCTTTTAAGTACCAAATTCAGATTCTTGAGGCATGCATCAAATGAAGACCCAAAGACAGAGAAATCGTCCATAAAGACCTCTAGATACTCTTTCACCATGTCCAAGAAAATTTACATCATACACCTTTGAAATGTGGCAGGGGCATTGCACAAACCAAAAGGCATCCGTCTATAAGCAAATGTGCCAAAAGGACAAGTAAATGTGGTTTTCTCTTAGTCCAAGGGGTCAAGGGCTACTTGATTGTAACCCGAATAGTCATCAAGAAAGCAATAGAATTGTTGCCTGGCCAATCTCTCTAGGATTTAATCAATAAATGGCAAAGGGAAGTGATCTTTTCTAGTGGCAGCATTCAATTTTCGGTAATCAATGCATACTCTCCATGAATTGGCGGTACGCTTAGAAATTGCCTCACCTTTTGCATTTTCAACCACCGTAATTCCCGATTTCTTGGGAACTACTTGAGTTGGACTCACCCATTTGCTATCAGAGATTGGATAAATAACACCAGCATCCAAGAGTTTAACTACCTCTTTCTTAACCACTTCTTTCATGTTTGGATTAAGTCTCCTTTGTGCATCCCTAAAAGGTTTTGCATCCTCCTCCATAAGTATGCGATGCATGCAAATAGAAGGATCAATTCCCTTAAGATCCGCCATACTCCATCCTATGGCTTCTTTGTTCTATTTAAACACATTTAAGAGTGCATCTTCTTGGTCCTTTTCAAGACTTGAGGAAATGATGACCGGAAGAGTGTCTTTTGGGCCTAAAAATGCATACTTGAGATTGGAAGGTATAGTTTTAAGCTCAAAAGTTGGTGGAGAGACTAGAGATGGGACTGGTGGAGTTCTCGAGAGTGGAGGAAGAGGTTCTATTGGAGTTTTCCAAGGTGAAAAATCCAAGCTTGTAACAGATTCTATGAGATTACTTACTTTATTCATTGATTTTTTCATCAAACCCACAATTGCCATACATTTCAAGAAGATAAGAAGCAAGAGGATGATCGAATAGGAGAAATAAAAGGTTATCCTCAATTGGTTATTTCATAACCATAGTTGGAATTGATTCTTCAACAACCTCATTCAACACATCTATAAGACAACACTCGTCTTCATCTATGGGATGTCGACTTGCATTGAAAATATTAAGCTTGACCATCATATTACCAAAAGAAAGGTGCATAACCCCGGATCTACAATTAATAGTTGCATTTGCGGTGGCAAGAAATGGCCTTCCCAAGATAATTGGGATGTGGTTGGTAGGATTGGCAATCGATTCGGTGTCAAGAACTACAAAATCAACCAGGAAGTAGAACTTATTAACCTTGACGAGAATGTCCTCAACCATGCCCCTAGGTGTTTTGACAGATCTATCGGCCAATTGAAGCACCACCGAAGTTGGCTTTAACTCATTCAAACCTAGTTGGACATATACGGAGTAATGAATCAAATTAACACTCGCTCCTAAGTCAAGAAGAGCTCTACGAACTTCATGGTTTCCAATCACACAAGAAATGGTCAGAGTACTGGGATCTTTGAACTTAGGTGGAGTGTTATGTTGAATGATGGAGCTTACTTGCTCCGTGAGAAACACTTTTTTAGGGCCTTATCCCTTGCTCTTCCTCTTTTGTCTACAAAGATCTTTCAAATTTTTTGCATTAGGCGGAATTTGCCTAATTGCATCCAAGAGAGGAAGATTTATGTTGACTTGCTTAAAAACTTCCATCATGTCATGAATTTTTCCTTCTTGCCTCCCAAAAGGTGAAGTCTCTATTAAAGCATAAGGGAATGGAGCTTTTGGCTCATAAGACCTTGTAACTAAAGGAATTGATGAAAAAGCTTGAGAATTTTGATTAGGGACATTTTCATCCAAGGAAGTAGGAGTAGGATTGGAAATGGGACGGGTGTCAACTTTTGGTTGCACCGGTTCACTATCTTCCTTTGGTTGTTCAACCCTATTGTCAACTTGTCTACCACTTCTCAAAGTGGTGATGGCTTACACTTGTGCCTGGGAAGAACACCCCGAAGTGGAGTTTGCTTCCACAAAATGTTGAGCTTTTGGGTTCCTTTCGGGTTAACTAGGTAATCTACCCACTTCTCTTACATTTAACGCATTAGCTATGGTCCCAATTTGGGATTCAAGCTTTTATATGGATTGAGAATGAGAATGCAACAAATTGGTGTTCATTTCTAAACTACCCAAAGCCACCAAAACTTTATCTTCGAATATAGGATTGCTAGAAGGTGCATGAGGATGATGAGAACAAATTTGGGAATCATACATTTGAGGATGTGAGAAGTGATTCATTCTTTGGTGATGAGAAGAAGAAACAAATCCTTGAGAACTTCCATTCCTTTTATGAGGTGGAATGTATTTGCTTCGAAAATTTTTAGCTTGATAAGGACTTGAGTTTTCATTCCACATTGGGACATATGCACTTGAATGAAGGTGAGAAAATGTAGCATTGGCTTGTTCAAAGTGTTCATTAAACACATGTCCATGGGGACAATTGGAAGTAATATGTAAAACACTCGAACATGTCATACAAGGCTCACAAAGAGGAGAAGTATGATGAAAAGGAGTTGACTTGATAACCGGTTTTTGACTAAACAAGAATTGATCGAGCTTTTGAGAAAACGTCTTAACTTTGGCTACAATTTCCATTGACCCTTAAATTTGACACACTTTTGCATTTTTCTCCTTTTTATTGGAACCATTATTAAGTTGAGAAATATAATATTTGTGCAAGGAGTTTTCACTAATTTTCTCAAAAAGGTGCCAAATGTCATCTTCATGTTTTCCAAAATATGAACCTCCACATGATGTATCAACTATGTCCTTGTGAATGTCCGATAGGCTCTCACAGAAATATTGGACAACTTGCCATTTTGGAATACCATGATGTGGACATTTTCTTAGCATGTCATTCAATCTCTCCCAAGCCTCATGCAACAACTCCCCTTCCCTTTGAGAAAATTCTCTAATTGAAGCTCTCATTACATTAGTCAAACTTACGGGGTAATTTTTTTTAAAAAAAACTCATTTTGCATTTGCATCCAAGATGTTATTGAATTAGCCCCCAAAGTGTTGAACCAATGCTTTGCTTTGTTTTTGAGTGTGAAAGGGAAAAGAAGTAATCTAAGAACTTCTTCCGGAATATTCATGTACCTCACGGTGGAACATATTTTAAGAAATTCATTGAGATGTTTATGTGGTTCCTTATCATCTAAGCCATAAAATAGCGGACACATTTGAATGGTCTTGGGCTTAATTTCATATTGATTGGCCTCAAAATTAGGAAGCATAATGCAAGTTGGTGCATGGTATTCATGAAGATTATAATGATCACGAAGGATCATTGGAGGAATTGGAGCTTGAACTCCGGGAGGAAATTGATTGAAAGGAGGATGCTCCATGAAGTTTGGGTCTAAATAACCAAGATGACCCTCTAGATTCTCCATTGGTTGTGATGGGGTTGGTTAAGACCACATGAAATTCAAGGAACAACAACAATGAAAACAACTAAGCAAACACTTTGCCCCTGCAACAAATGAATCAACAAACCTTCACATACAATGATCCCATACTCCCATGCTTTCAACAATATGCAAAGAGTAATAAAATTGCCTCCACGTGGGCTTACGATTTATCGAAGAATTGAAATACAGGCCTCCACGCGGGCCGACGATTTAACTAGAGATGGAGTTAAGAAAGAGCTCACAAAGGGTCCTTTAGCACTTCAATTTAATTTTCAATTCTAGTCTTGCAATTTTTTTTAGATTTTTGCTTTTTCCTTACTTTTGCTTAACTCCTTACTTGAAATGCTCCTTTGCTCACCTTCTTTTCAATGCACATAGTCAAACAAGAACCAACACAATAAGTAACCAAAATGAAAACAAAGTAAAGACACGATCAAAAGAGTACTAATTCCTAATTGATTCCACAAATACGACGTTGCCTTGAATCAATCCCCGACAATGGCGCTAAAAACTTGGTGTGTGCCGTACCTATGCACTAAATGTTTGCAAAAGAGATGTTGAACTAAGATGAGTGTGGCCAAGTTTTACATTTAGAAATTGCCACTACTACCTTTCACTAAAAATATAGTTAGGGCAAGTAGGGATCGTCCCAAGGGATTGGTGGGTCGTGTTAAGTTGTGAAATCGAGATTAGGGTTAGTAGGTCGAGTGATCAAAAGATTGGTTGGTGGTTGAATTACACTAAGACGCAATTTAAACTAAAGTAGACAATTAAATATAATGGAGAGAAAATAAGAGACAGATCTTGGGGTTTAGAGATCACCACTAAGAATAGCTTTTTTACACCCTTAATGAATGATTAATAAGGGGGAAAATATGTATTGCAACATAGTGTGTGTGTGTGGTTGTTTCAATAAGCATGGATGATAAATTAAGCATATATTGTCTAAGCAACATGGTGGATAGCACAATATATCAAACTAAGCCATTAATCATTTCTTTAAGCTCACAATCCAAACACATCATAAGGTTAGAGATATGTGCTACTTGCTTTCATAAGTATGGAACATCAAACACAAGCGTGGATTGTCCTCCCATTTAACATCTAAACTACAACTACACTACAATTAAGCTAGTAACATGAAATTAAATTAAGGGAGAGGCACAATCTATCAAGAAATGAGTATGAACCATCAAATAAACCACAAGAGCATTCCATTAAGCACTATGTCTTGACAATCTCTAGATTTATAGCATCAATACAAATAGACATATATCAATAACACAAGAAATAGAGACAAACACATGAACATCTATTCTAGCATACATAGACATATGGATAGAATGAAATGATTAATTGGAAGCATTAAACCACACAAATCATTGAATAAACAAGATCTATGTATATAAATATGTCAAAACATGTATCACAATACAAATCCCCTCAAATATACATAAATCAAGATGCAGAAAGCATGCTTAGGGCTAACTCTAGCCCCAAGAGGATGTCTAGCCACTCATGGATGTGCTTCTCCAACCCTCAAGGGCTAACTCCATGGATGAAATTGCTCCTCTTCTTGGTGGATGGAAGAACTCCAAGCTTGTGTCTCTAGCCTCCTCCTTTCTTTTCTTCTTCACTAAGAATATGAAAATTGTGCCTCCTCTCTATTCTAAAGTATATCAAGTATATCTCAAAAAGTGGCTCATATTCCTTATATAAGTAGGTTAAAATGTCACCCTAATGGTCTGGGCTCACACTCCAACATTCCTCCAATGATTGGCTATGAGACAACTTTCAATGAGCTGGATTTTTGTCTTTTTGCGTACTTGGGGAAGTTCGATTGATCGAACCTTGGATGAGATCGGTCGAACATGGCTGAGATCTATCAAACTAAGGCTGGATCGGTCCACTATGGCGGCGCCTTTTTGTATAAAAACAAATCTGAGATATTTTGAAGATATTTTTGGGAAAGAGACAAATGTTGTAGGTAGGGTGGTACAAGTGGATAAGATGGAATCTTTTCGATCGATCGAAAGAAAGTTGGATCAATCAAACTTTGTGAGATCTTTGGATAAGGACAAAAGAGCTTGGATCCATCTTGGAATGCTGAGATCGATGAACTTTCGATCAATCGAACATGCTGAACTTCCACCACTTGCTTCATTTTGCCTCATTTCTTTGATTCATCTCAAGATTGATTCAATTATGCTCTTATTTAGCTGAGTTAGCTTATTTTGGGGATAAGTACCTGAAAATGGAAATAATACTAAATTATTCTAAAGCGAAAAAATAAGATAGATAAAGGTTTTAGAATACCTAAGCTTAAAGGGTTTAAATGCGCACTTTTCAGTGCTCATCACCTATACCACCCATTCCACATATTGTCACTATGCCAACTTTGTCTTATTCATCTCGTAACCACAAATTAATGTCTTTTACATGAGAATCTATTTCAACTGGATGTGGACAAAAACTCAAGACCATGGGCTTTAATTTGTTCCCGATCTTTTTAACGATCTGCTGAATAAATCTTAACTTGTTCCTGTTAGGATAATTTACAAATTACTTTACTGAAAAAACAATGAAGATTGAATTTTGATTCATAAAATACTATGGATCAGAAAATTAAGACGTGGTCAAGATCTTACCTTGCTCCATGGCATATAAACTTTAAACGAAAAAACCTTCCTTGCATTGTGAGATCTTCAAACTACTCTTATTTTTTATAGCTAAATGTGGTGTTCATTTTCCAAGAAAGTGCAACCTCGGACCTTAACTTAATGTTATTAAAATAAACTAACTATTGGTCTTGACATCATAAACCCTTAATTTTCTTCATATAGAAATAGTTAAGAGATTGCTTTTATTTTTTGCATACAACTCAACGTCGTGGAAGATACAGTAATCTTAATTTTCATTTGTCTACGCCATGGAGTATTCCTCTGGTCTGTTAATTCCTATTGATGAAAAATAATTTTTAATTCTTATTATACTTATAAATAGTGACAATCTTTAGTTTTACAGATATCATATTTTTAGTTTATAAATCTCTTCCAATTAAATTTCATAAAACTCTCTTCATATGATAATCTAATATTAAATCATGAATGACTATGCATATGGCACATAAAATTAATCGCTAACAGTACCTACAAATTACTACTAAAATTGAAAATAAAGCAAACATGCATGTCATAAGTTGAAATGAATAAGAAGTTAAATGAAAGTGCAAACAAAAAAAAAGAAAAAAGAAAAGAATTTGATGTTTAGTTTTGACTATGTCTTGATAGAATGCCTGTATAGTTAATATCACACTGAAGATAAATCGAAAGAAAGAATTTGTATTTAAGAAATAGATGGTAATATAAGCATCTAAAGATGCTAATAAATAAAATAATATTCAAAGCTATGAACTGTTGAACCAGACAGTTTTAAACAAAGAACTTCAAAGAGACAACCCGTGATTTAAAACCATTCCTGCCAAATCTGCAACTTCTCTCAGAGCTGCCTTCCCCCTCTTTATCTTGTCCATCCCTTCCTCTTTTCTTCCTTCCGTCTCTTTCTTAAATTTCTCCTTGTGTTCTGCAAATGCTTCTGCAAAACTTCCCGTCTACTTCCTAACATGGGATGGATCCACGTGATGGAAAATGGGTAGAATAATATGACTAAAGCTCTTCTTGCGTTCAAGGATTTTTAGAAGTTCATCAAGGCACCATCTTAAAGATGCATAGTTTTGAGGAGATTTTCTCTCCTCTCTCAAGTCCATTATCATCTCTAAGTGTACGTATTTCGGCATGTATCAAAGCGGTAGAGAGGTGATCAGTAAAGGTATTCTGGGTATCTTCACCTCTGAAACTCAAGAACATATCATAAGAACACCGAGTTGAGGAGGATTCTTAGGATCCCATAGCAACCATTGAACAAAGATCCAGAAGATCAATGTAATGTTGGTGATTTATATATATATGTGTGTGTGTGTGTGTGTGTGGTAGTAAATTTTTTAAAAAAAAAGAAAGAAAAGAAAAGTCAAAGTAGGATTTTTCTTAGTGGGACCTACCACTAATTCACATTTGTATGGCCAAGAGGCCATTTGACCTCTCATTTTCTCTCTCCCCGTAAAAGCTCCCTCTCCCTCATTTTCATTTCTTTTTCTTTTCCTTTTTGCTTCAAGCTTTAGACTTTGATTTCTCTCTCATTTTTGAGAGATTTTTGGTGCCGTTTGTGGCAAAACGGAGAGCTCGGCGAGATCTTCAAGTTGATGTAAGCAATTTCATCGTTGGCCAACCATAGAATTTTCAAAAATTGGGCTTGGAATTGGGGTTTTTGCATCCTTTGAGGTAGGGGTGCTCTAATATACAATTTTTTGGATTTCTTGTGAAGTTTTCTTTTAATTAGACTCTAAGCATGCTTAAATTTAATTTTTCTTGAGTATGTTTGTTGTGGTCCTTGGTATTTAAGTGATAAAGGCATGCTAGGTGTTAAGTGAGCTTAGAAATATGATTAAACCTTTTGTGCTGAATAAGCATGCTTAGTGTTGATGTATTATATGCCTATGTTTTCAAATTACTATGAAAAGTGATGTAGTAATTATGAAAATGAATGATTATATTTTATGCTTTATCTATTTAAGTTGTTGGAGTTGCTAATTGAAAGTATGTAAAATGCCATGATTCAGAAAGTATGAGAATGTGATATTGTGTGGGAATTCATATTTTAAGCATGCTTGAATAATGTGGATGAAATGTAGGAAATTTCTATATTGTTATGGCATTGAAGGATTTGCATAGTTCATGCTTTATCATTGGGAAAGTGAAAAGGGAAAAGTTTGTTTTAAAAACAAATGAAATTGTTTTTGGGGAAAAGTTTTTAAAAAGTGTTGTGAAAACCTGTAACAACCTAAACCCGAGGGTCCGAATCACTAACGGGTCCTTATCTGAACCCGAGGTCAACTAAGGACACTACCGTTCTTTCCTACGTCAATGCATAATATACATGTCATCCCAGGGTTTTAAAAATAAAATAGTAATAGCAATAATAATAATAATAAATTATAATTACAAAATATGTCAAAACAGTTTACTAACCCATCGAACCCTGTGAAGGAACGTCGTTCGCTACTTCCTTTCCGTATCTTGAAAAAAATGTTAAAATGATGGGGTGAGCTAAACGCTCAGTAGGAAGTGTCTAAGACACACCTCCTATAACCCCGTGAATCCACATAAAGAAGAAGTAAAAAGGAACGGGATCATACCATAAGGAAACACATATTCTCAACCACAACAACAAGTATATTGCAAATGTCAACCGATCACAGATTTACTACAATGTCATGAAGTGCAATGTTATGCAAATGCCACTCCCCATTTCCGAAATAATTCCGTTTCAACAACCAAACTGTTAATGTAATCCGACCCAAGGCACCTCCAAGGCGTCACAAAAGGGGGATTGACTAACTATCCATGACCACAAAGCACCTCCAAGGCGTTGCATCCGGCCTATTTAGCTCAACCACACTCCCTTCTAGACTACACTAACATCACGGACCGGTTTTTGCAAACACTTTTAAAAATGCTTTCCAAAAACAATTCCATTTGTTTTTCTTTAAAAAAACAATTTCCCAAAAATCAATTTCGTTACTTTTTATAACAAACTTTCCTTTCTTTTCCAATGAGGTGTATCAATGTTACATGCTATAACCAATAAAAAAAAAAATTCATAACCTTCCATCATGCGTAATTAACAACAACAACATAGCATGCTTTAATAGAAATTTAAAACTAGCCACCATGCACTCATACAATAAATTCAACATATACATACACAATTTTTGTCATTTAAATGCACCTCATCACAAAATAGCAATTAACACATGGCATACTTATTTTACACAACAAAATTTCATATACAACATTTGTATCACATCTCAAGGGATCTACACCAATTAAACATGCTAGTTTCAAATTAATGAAGGAAAAATTCACCGAGGGCAAAGAATACATGAATTAGAGCACCCTTACCTTGGAAAAGAATTTCCCTCACAGGATCATCAAAGCCTCAAGCTCCCGGCTTCCTCTCTAAAATCTCAGCTCCTCCCCGCAACTCGTCTCTCTCTGCCCTCAAACTCTTTCTCTATTCTCTAATTTTTTTTTCTCTCTCTGTATTCTCGGACCTCCATTGTCCATCTGTGCTCTCACTCTTTTAACTCTTTAATTCTCCTTCTCCGATTCTCACACAAACTCAAAGCACACGTATACAATTTATAGGCCTTTCCACCAGCACAATTCACATAACTGCTCTCCATGCAAATAATGATCACACCTACGAAATGGACCCCACCACCTAACCTTACCATTACCTTTCCATGATCACTTTTACCTCTTTTTTCTCTTTTCCTTCTAATCTGCAACATACTCACGTGAAAAATGCTAAGGCCAAAGGAAATTTGGTCAAAAAGTCTCCTTAGTAGGCCACGCCCATCATTACACATTTCATTATTTATTCCACCATTTTCGGCACCTCCTTCCTTTCATTCCATCAAATGCCAATTATATATATATATATATATAAAATTACATACAAAGCTAAACTAAAATTGAAACCCATTAAATCGTGGGACCTGCCATTTCCATTCCCATTTCAATCTCATTTTCTTCTCCCACGGCTGGCAGCAGCTCCATCTCATCTCTCTCTCTCTCTATATATATATATATCAAAAACCAATTCAACCCACTAATCATCATTCAAGTGGGACCCACACCTAAAACAATTTAAATTTTCTCTTCATTTCCTTCCCAATTCGGCTGGCAGTCCCTATCTCCAACAGATATTATTTGTGTATATATAATATGCAACAACAAAATCAACCCATTAAATCTTTCTATTGGGTAAATCACCAAGTCTTAAATCATAAAATATTTAATTATGACAAATGAAAAAAAATATAAATTTAACTCTTAAAAATTTGGGTTATCACAAAACCCGGAAACCTAAGAGGCGCTTAGTGGTTTGTAGTGTTAGTGTGATCTAGAGGGGGACTAGAGAGAGACTCTAGTGTGGTTGAGCTACTTAGGCCCAGACGACGCCATGGAAGTGCCATGTGGTCGGGGAAAGCTAGCCAACCCCTCCCTCGTGACGCCTTGGAGGTATTTTGGGTCGGATTGCATTAACGGTTTGGAGGATTAAAATGGTGTCATTTCAGAAATGGGGAGCGACATTGCATGGCATGGCATTGCATTGGTATACATTGTACATTTGGTGGTTAGACGACTTGAGTATGCGTTGTTAGTATTATCATTGTTTTGCTTGTTTTCCCCGAGGCATGACCCCATTTACTTGTACTCTATTCCTTATGTGAATTCACGGGGTCATAAGAAGTGTGTCTTAAACACTTCCTACTGAGCTTATGCTCACCCTTTTATTATTAACATTTTTCAGGATACGGAAGGGAAGTGGCGGACAACGCTTCTCCATAGGGTTCGATAGGTTAGTAGATTGTTTTGACATATTTTATAGCTATGATCTCTTTTTATTATTATTGTTATTACTATTTTTTTAAAATCATGAGATGACACGTATATTATGTATAGACGTAGGAAAGAACGGTAGTGTCTTTAGTTGACCTCGGGTTCGGATAAGGACCCGGTTAGCGATTCGGACCCTCGTATTCAGGTCGTTTCAATCAATGAACAAGTGTTATATTCAAGCTGTACAATCACAACCGGTATTTGAATAAGATGTCCATTAATTAAACAATAAAGGAATAAACTATACAGTAAGCTTTTTTTTTTTTTTTTTTTTCCAAAGAAAAGAAGACGACCCTTTCCATGACTTCCAAGGATTTGTTTTCTGCAAATTATGCTTTTCCTCTTCCACTTTAGTGAGCCATAGTGATTTTTGGGTTTGGTGTGGTCTAGCTTGTGAAGATTGGGGGAAAAGTTTTGTATGCATAGGTTTAATTTGTTTTTGTTACACAAGAATACTACACATTTAGGCACCAACAACAAAATTTTATATATGAGTGATCATCATCATCATCTTTAGATTTTTTTGCCTTTATCTCATACTAACAGAGTCGACCACACAGATTCTCTTTTTCTAATCTTTTCTATCATAAGTTATTTCTTCTACTAGAATTAATTTTTAAAAATCATTTCTTATCACTACGTCCCGTGTTAGTTTTGGTTGACCTCTTTTGCTTATACCTTCTATGCAAATCAATCTTCCTCTCCTCACTGGCACATCTATAGATAAACGTTAAATATGTTCATACCACCTAAGTCTACGCTCTCTTATTTTCTTGGCACTACACCTAATTTCTCCCTAATCTTTGGATTATTAATCTTATCTTTTCTAGTTCTTCCTAACATCTATCTTAGCATTCACATTTCCACCACAATACAGGCAAATTTAGTGTTTTACTTCATGGTCAAAATTGAGTAAACAAAGTGACCAACATATACATATATATAGTATTAGAAATATTATGTGGCTCAAAAATTGCCAACTCAACAAAGTTTTCATCACCCATAACTTCATCATCTTGGTAGCCAAGTTGAGTGGTCAAGAAGTTGTGCGTGGACAACAAGTATGTTTGATGAGCAAGCATATATTTATGTTTTCTTGGCTATAAATAGCCTATACCCATGGCATCCCAAAAGCATCAAAAAAAAATTTGAGTGTTTACTTAATATCAAGCAAAGCAAAGTGTGTGAGAGTCTTGGATGTAATTGGAGTTTTGGGTGTGAGCCATTTAGCCTTATATCTCTATATTTTTATAGTGAAATATTGATCTGTCTTCTCCCTGTGGATGTAGGTACAGCCGAACCACGTAAATCCTTGTCTCGTTTGTGTGTGTGTTATTTTATTTTTCTTGTAATTTATTTTTCTCTTGTTCTCATAAACTCCTACTCAATCCTTATTTTAGTAACAAATTGGTATCAAAGCTCGGTTCGTGTATTGTGTATAGATACTATTCCAGTTCACAAATACGGTACTATTCACCGAGAAATTTTTTTTTGGGAAGTTTTTTGAGATGTCAACCAGATACAAGATTGAGAAATTTTATGACAAGATTAGCTTCAGTCTTTGGCGCATTAAGATACAGGCCTGCTAACTAAGCAAGTTCTAAAAAAGGTGTTGTTCGGGAAGGACAAGTTACTAGAAACTATGTCCAATGAAGACAAGGATGAGGTCGATGAAAGGGCGGGCAATGCGATTCTCCTGAATCTAGCTGATGAGGTGCTGCGTGAAGTTATTGATGAAGACATGGCGGCAAATTTGTGGCTGAAATTGGAGAGTCTGTACATGACGAAGTCTCTCACCAACAAACTTTACCTGAAATAGAGACTCTACACCCTTCATATGAAGGAATGTATGCCTCTTAAGGAACATGTTGATAATTTCAATTCTATTATTATGGATTTAAAAAATACTGATATTAAAATAGATGAGAAGATCAAGCCTTTATTTTGTTGTGTTCTTTGCCTCCTTCCTATCAGCATTTTGTTACCACATTGCTCTATAGAAAAGACACCATTAGTATGGAGGATGTTAAATCCTCATTGAACTCTCAAGAGTTGAGAAAAAAAGTGTCTGGAAATAATGGAGATGAACAGGCCGAGTGTCTGGTTGTGAGGAGAAGAAGTGAGAAAGAGGATTCTGGTAATAGGGGCAAATCGAGTTCTAAATCTAGGTCTCATAAAGATACTCAATGTTATTATCGTCACCAAAAAGGGCACATTAAGTGGAATTGTCCAAAATTGAAAAATAAAAAGAAAGATAAAAATGATAAAAATGAGTCTAAGGATAAATCCACTAGTAATTCTTCTGATGTTGCTAGGGTTGCTGAGGAAAGTTCCTCGGATGTCGAAAATGTTCTTTCAGTTTCTGTCAGTGATTATCACTCTAGTAATGAATGGGTTCTTGATTCTGGTTGTTCCCATCATGTATGTCCCAATAGGGACTGGTCTTCAACTTAGCGTTCTGTTGATGGTGGTATTGTCTTAATAGGGAACAAAAATCCCTGTAAGACTGTTGGAATAGGCACAATCCAAATTAAAATGTATGATGGTATTGCTAGAACTTTAACTGATGTTCGGCATGTTCTAGATTTGAAAAAGAATTTGATTTCTCTCGGTACTCTTGACTCTAATGGTTACAAGTTTTCAGCTGAAGGTGGACTTTTAAGAGTTTCTAAAGGTTCTCTTACTATGCTTAAGGGAAAACAAAGAAAAAGCTTATATTTTTTGTAGGGCAGTACTATGACAGGCGCTGTTTCAGTATCTTCTTTAATTGATCAAGATTCAAAAACTACCCATCTATGGCATATGCGTTTAGGGCATATGAGTGAGAGAGGTTTGATAGAATTGAGCAAACGAGGTTTGATAGAATTGACCAAAGGTGGACAGAAGGCAAGAAAACTGGACTTTTGCAAGCATTGTGTCTTTGGCAAGCTGAAAAGACTCAAGTTCAGTACAGCTGTTCATAGGAGCAAGGACACTGTTGATTATATTCATTCAGATCTTTGGGGTTCTTCCAGTGTTCCCTCTCTTGGTAGTTCTCGATATATGTTGACTTTCATTGATGACTTCTCCAGGAAAGTTTGGATCTAAATCTTGAATAAAAAACATGAAGTGTTCCTTAAGTTTAAGCAGTGGAATGCCATGATTGAAAAACAGACCGGAAAGAAGATCAAGCGTCTTAGAACAGAAAACGGTTTAAAATTTTGCTCAAGAGAGTTTGACGAGTTTTGCAATAATGAAGGCATTGTCAGACACCATACAGTTTGAAAGACTCCACAACAAAATGGTATAGCAAAATGCAAGAATAGAACTCTCTTGGAAAGAGTTTGTTGTATGCTTTTTAATGCTGAGTTGTCTAAGGGATTTTGGGCTGAAGCAGTCAACACAGCTTGCTATTTGGTGAATAGGTCACCATCGACTGCTATTGAGTGCAAAACACCTGAAGAGGTATGGTCTGGTACTCCTGCTGATTATTCTAATTTAAGAATTTTTGGATGTCCTGCTTATGTTCATGTTAATGAAGGAAGACTTGAGACTAGAGCCAAGAAATGTATTTTTATTGGCTATGTATTCGGGGTGAAGGGATACAGGTTGTGGTGTCCTGATCCTAAGTCACCCAAGTTTATTACCAGCAGAGATGTTACTTTTGATAAGTTTGTTTTTTCTTCACCCGAGGAAGAAGTCTTTTGTTACAGATGAATTTCAAGGTGTTAAA